TGCTTGAGCTCAGGAGTTTGAGACCAGCCTGAGCAAAACCAAGAACCCATCTCTAGTAAAAATAGAATAACTTACCCAGGCATGGTGGTGTACACCTGTAGTCCCAGCTACTTGGGAGGCTGAGGCCTCTCTTGAGCCCAGGAGGTTGAAGTTGCTGTGAGCTAGGCCAACACCACTGCACTCTAGCCTGGGCAACAGAGATAGACTCTGTCTCAACAAAACAAAACAAACAAACAAACAAAAAACAAAAATAAGAACTGTCAGTTGAACTTTTGCTTAAATAAAAGAACCCCCATTCACTTTACAGTAATATTTATAGTCTAACTATGTATAACCAAGCTATGCATTCCAACAATATATAAGACATCTGCTGATCTGTAATCGTAGTTTTATCTGATCAAATCTCCTATAGTCATGATGAAATCACAGAAAGATATTTTGTTATGGTCAGCCATTAAATTCATTGCATCTGTGGTAACCTGGGCTACTCAATCACACAGCAGGAAAATGCAGAGATTAAATTTGTGAGAAGAAGCTATTTTTGTACTTATAGAATTTAAATATACTTTTGATAAATCTGCTTTATTATTTTATTCAAAAAGCAGAAGATGGTATATAGTTTTAGAAATGTAATCTATAATGGAGTAGTTCTCAACTTTGGTTGATACCTTTCCCAATCCACAGGACATTTAGCAATGTCTAGAGAAATTGTGGTTATCACAATTACTGCCATCTAAAGGTGTTACTGGTGTCTAGTGGATAGAGGCCAGGGATGCTGATAAACATTTCCCAATACACAAGGCAGTTCCCACCACAAAATATTACCTAGATCTGAATGTTGAAAGGGCCTGGACTGAGAAACACTTCTATAATGGAATATTTCTGCTCCCCTAACAATTTTCCTGAGCCTTGTGTTTCTCACACTGACCTAAAAGTCATCACTATAGGTCAATTTTGGTTGGCAAGGTACTCCATGCTTAAGTTACCTTAATTCAAATAGAAAATTAATTATGGACCAAGCCAGAGAGCTATTATTCATATGTCCAGTTTGTAAGGGCTCCCTGGCTGACTCCTTCAGGAATTACAAAGTGATCTCATTAGTTCTGTCCATTAGGTCCTAGGACCTATCTTGCCTAAAATTTTACATGCTTGGACAGCAATAACATGAAAGATAAAGCTGCTTTTATTAACTACTAATAAGCAAATGTACAACTATATCCTAAGTTTTCCATAATAACAATCTTATTTACACTGTTGAATAAAAATAGAGCTTATTAAACTAAGGAAGCTTAGGAAACCCCCTTATAATATTACCCTTTCCAAAACCCTTGAGTGATTCAAAATACAGGTCATAGGGTATCATAGGGTATGAAGGACAGAGGTGGAAACCAATCTAGATAATGGAATAATCAACTATCACAATCAGGCTTCACCTTTCTCCTTCCAAACTAACCCATATTGGTTATTACATTTCTTCAAACATTAGAAATTGAGCTTCAAAAATGAAATAAAGGTACGTGATTATAAAGGAAGTAATAATTAATTTCAACGTTGTTCCTAAAAGTTCTGACCAAGGGAATATCCCATTACTACCACTTCAATCTTCAGCTCTAAAAAGTTCAAAACAATGCTATTACCTATTCTTGCTACTTTAAACAATTCTGCTAAGTATCTATGTGCTATTCAAGCCTTAGGGTGTTTTTTTTTTTTTTCTTTCATTTTGTTGTTGTTTGCTTTTGTTCTGGTTTTCCCTTAAAAGGAGCCAAGACAGTCTGGATTTAAGTCTTGGCTTGGAAGAACTCTAGGTCCTCAAAAGCAAATATTGGAAACCCTGTAAAAGCCTCTCAGATATACGCCCTTAGAAATGTCCAGGGAAAAGATAGTCATAAAAGCTTTTAAATTCATTTTCCTCTCTCATCAGAGGACTGGCAGAAATACACAGCGTAAGAGGCCGCCTCACCCAAATTCTTACACTCACTTGAAATACTACTGACCTAACTGTAGACAGTCTCTCCAATAATCCATACATCTATAAACTAAGTTTAGTCATTGCTTCCTTTGAATGGGTTCTGCGAGAGTTAAGAGCTTTATGATCAGTGAATGGAAGTTGAGATAGAAAGTAGAAATAAGGAAAAGAAACCCTTTGTCTTTAAAAAGAAGTGGCAGCAGTTTCCGTTTACAAGCCCGAAGGGTTGTTGTACATATTAAAATTGCTGCATAGCTCCATCCCTGGTCACAGAAATCCCTCCTCCTTCCCTGTCACCCCCACCCCTGTGGCCACTGAAGATGTCAGATCTCTGGGAAACAGCAGTTAGGAAAAGATGCTTTTCACAGCTCTTACTATAAAACGCTGGCATCCTCGTCCTTACATAAAATAGCACTAAACTGAGTCACAATGCAGGAAGCTGTTCCTTCTGCTTCTCTTCAGTGGGAGCTAAGGAAATACTAAATAATACTGCATAGTTTTGCCCGAGTTTGTGACATGTCAATTCTTCTAATCTCCCATTTGCCCTGGATAATTTTAAGCTTTATCCATCAGTGTGCCACACAAGAAAGAAAAATGTAGTTAACAAGATGACAGTGTTATCTAGGTATTTGGCATCAATATTAGCGAAAGTCTGTCATTTGACAATTATTTCCCTAGCATACCAGACGGTAAAGAAAATGTTTTCATTCATCCGCAAATGACTAACATTTTATTGATGTTTCAAAATGCGGTTGAATAGTATTGCACTCTCAATTTCTGAGCGGGTTTTGAGAGTTAAGGATGAATACTAATAACATCAGTAACTCCTGCTGCAAATGACTCCGTTAACTGCAGAGCCTTGGAGTATTAGTTCAGCAGGGAGGTGTTCTGGTTAGGGGTTCTTCCATTAGTCAGTCTGGGTGGTCACAGGTGATGAGAACCCTTCCCTTTCCCCATACATCCTCCTGCATGGTGATAAAAATCACTCTGAACACCTCCACCACCAAGCAAAATGACTTCCTGCCTGCCTTGTAAAGAGCTCAGTCTAGGGAGGCAGCCGTATGCTGACCCCTGCAGAGATTATTGCTTCGGTGAGCTTTGCCAAAGGACCCTGCTAGCGTTATGGAAAACGAGTTAGAGATGTGAGAGGGTTTGCTTTATTTATTTCCTCCAAGGGAAGGAGAACTGGGATCCAGCAAAGAAAATCTTCAAAGACTTCTAAAGGGGTATGGGGTGGAGGAAGGAGGTGGGGGGCTAGCTTATTTTTTAGTTACTTGTTTCCCTCCTTCACTCGCCTGCTCTGCTTCCTAACCTCCTCACTGAACACGATTGATTGGCGTAACTGCTATCGACTCCAGCCTGGGTTCTCGCATTGATTTGCAAATGGCCCGGAATAGCTTTGGATCTCGAATTTGGAAATGAGTTCGAGAAGGAAAGAAGAAAAAAAGGGCAAGGGGCGGCCCTATGCCCAGCATCCCATTCCGCCACGGGCCAGGGCAGCGGCTCGCAACAGCCGGTGGAGCAGCTTAAGGGGCTGCGGCGTGTAAAGCGGAGGTTGCTGCTCCACACCGCCAAGAAGCGAGTCTGTTCAACCCGGTTGGGAGGCTGTTAAAAAATATAACCCTGGCACTCGTTCAACCCGATAACTCTGTCCTGCCTGGATTCGGATGCGCTGATCAACCGCCTGGTAGGCTCAAACGGGTTAAGCTGCCTCTTACATAACTGGACTGCCTGGCTCTACACAATTAAAACACTTGATTGCAGTCTCTTCCCGACGCTGCATCCCAGCCCGTCCCTCCCAGCGCGCCTGCGTGCCGCGCGTGCACAGGCCTCGCGCGCGCACTACACAGACTCTGTCACACACACACTCCATGTTGACCATAAACACCCCCCCCACTACACACACACAACTTAGTGTCAACACGCACAGAGCAGGGGGGAGCGTCGTCCAATCCATAGTGGCTGACCCAACAGACACGCAAGCTGCTCTCCCGCAAGGCCTTGCACCCCCTCGCGTCCCCACAAAAAGCAGCGTCCTGCCACTGTCCCTAGCCGCTCTCGAAAGGGGTAAAGAGAGAACTAGTTGCCTCTTGTTAACTGTAGCCAGGTCGCCCAAGCGAGATTAAAAGAAAACAAAAAACAACTCACAGCCGCCGGCGTCATGATGGCGCCGACCACAACTTGGAGGACTTTAAAGTTACGGTGCCTCGAGAGGTAAAACGCACCGGAGAGGGAAAGCAAAGCGTCCCCGTGCGCTCTTCTCCCCAGCCCCGACACGCAGACTTTTCTAGCAAAGCGTCCCTTCATGCTTACGACAGTGAGGGAAGCCTTCTGTCTCCCGTGTCTCTTTCCCCCTCAGTGTGCATAACTGTGATATATCTCCAACTGATTTTTCTCCTTTCCTTTCTTTATTTTTTTTCTCTTTTGTTTCTTTCTCTCTTTCTTTTTTTATCCCGCATTTCCCCCCTCCCTTCTCCATCCCTAGTCCTCGGGCGGGGTTGCTAAGGAAACGGCCGCTTGGCAACGCGCGCGAGCCCGGGGGTCGGCGGCCGCCGCTGCGCCCCGCGCTGCTTCTGCTGCTGTTGCTGCCGCTGCTGCGATTGCAGCCGCAGCCGCCGCTCGCCCTGCCTCCGCCGCCGCCGCACCTCCTCCCTCACTCGCCCGCGCGCTCGCCTCCTCGCTAGATGGTGTGCGAGCCGCCCGAGAATTAGACACACTCCGGACGCGGCCAAAAGCAACCGAGAGGAGGTGTAGTGTGGTGCCAGGGGGTGGGAGGGGAGGGAGGGAGGGAGAGCCAAGAGGAGGAGGAGGGGAGGCAAATTAAGAAAAAAAAAAAGAAAGAAAGAGACGCAGAGAGAGAGAAACAACACCCAACAACTAGGAAGAGAGAAAAAAAAAAACCCCCCCACCCACCCAAAAAAAAAAAAAAAAAATTCCTGTGGCGCGCCGCCTGGTTCCCGGGAAGACTCGCCAGCACCAGGGGGTGGGGGAGTGCGAGCTGAAAGCTGCTGGAGAGTGAGCAGCCCTAGCAGGGATGGACATGATGCTGTTGGTGCAGGGTGCTTGTTGCTCGAACCAGTGGCTGGCGGCGGTGCTTCTCAGCCTGTGCTGCCTGCTACCCTCCTGCCTCCCGGCTGGACAGAGCGTGGACTTCCCCTGGGCGGCCGTGGACAACATGATGGTCAGAAAAGGGGACACGGCGGTGCTTAGGTAGGAAGAACGGCGTGCTTTTCGTACTTGTCTCAGTCTATCTTTCTGTCTCTCTTTCCACCCTCTTTGCCTTCTTTACAAACCGAGAAATAATGCTGGTGGTGCTCACCCTGGAAAGACCACATTTCAAGAAATGCAGGTGCGGGTTCTTCCCAGAGTCCCGGCTCCTTTATGCTGGGGCAGGTAGCAGCTGGACTCGTGATGCTAAAGCACTTTGCCAGAACGCCAAGTAGCCCGGGGATGAGTGAAGTGTCAGTTTTAGAAGGAGGGGCAGGTGCCACTTTGAAACTCAATACACCAGGTCTCTGTTTTACTGTCATAGGGTACTCTTGGAGAGTCTGACAAGTTTATCGGGTTTGTTTCTATTTTACTCTAGCGTAAGTGACTTTTTCAAACTGCTGGCTCTCTGTTTCCATTTAGTTGCCCTCTCACTTGGATACTTAGGCTCAATGTCCTGCTCTTCAGCTTCATTTCCTTTTACCCCTTTCTCCCTTTAGTTCTTTTTTCTCTTTTTCCGTTTTCTCCGTTTCCTTATTGCTCTCTTTTCCCTCCAGTGCCTCTTTTCATCCCATTTCTATTTTATTTTTGTTCTTTTTCTCTTTTTTGTTTTCTCTTCTTTTTAAAAAATCTCCACCACTGTTATTTCTGATTCTCTTATTTAACCCTCTCTCTTCTCTCTTCACTTTTCCCTTACCCCCATTTTTATCCTCGTTAATGTCCTACTCTGTGCCTTGTCTTCACTCTTTTGATTCCCATTTCCTATCCTTTTCTCCCCATACCCTTTCCCCCCATCACACACGCAGACATGTTCACTCTGTCCCCTCCAATACCATTTTCTCACCCTCATAAATCTTGTTTTCATAAACACTCTCCCCCACATACTCTCTCACATCCTCACACACACTGGCACTTCCATGCTCTAGCAACCACTTTCACATTCAGATTCTCTCTTAATGTTTAAAAGGCATACACTCCTCTCTTCCACACCCTGTCACTTATACATGTGTACACAGCACCTCTCCTCTTGCTCTTTCTAGCTTTCTCTCTTTCTGTTTTCTTTCTATCCCCTCTTTCTTCCCACCTTCCTCCCCCCTTCTGTCCTTAGTTTTACTTCTTTTCCTTTTTGCTCCCTTCTTCCCTCTGTTTCCCTAAGCTTGAACATTGAAATAGTTTGTCACTTATGAACATCTATAGCCTGATTTTATCCCTAAGCGACATTACAGAGTGAGCTTCTGGAAACATTTTCTCTCCTATGAAAATATAAATTGATGATCAGCAGTGCTTGGATCTAAACAAGGAAAAACGCCCTTATTCTTTCATTTCCCATCACCCTCCCTTCTCCCCCTGACACCCCACCTCACATCTCCCTGAAAGATCTCCTTTCTCTCCACTGGGTGGTAGTTGACTTATAAGTGTGAATTGCTCAAAATCAGTGTACATGGTATGTCTAAGGTGAAAGAGAGTGGGATATGTTTCTGCTTGAATCATGCAACATATTTAAATTTAATGATGTGGGTGTGGTATATAACTTACACCTTTTGAAACATACTTATGATTCCAAATTTGCCTGTGATTCTATTATAATTTCTAATGTACACTAATAACATATATTTATAACATATCTTTGTTGTAAATACAAAATGCCACTGAATGTGTGTATAAGTAACAAATATTATAACATAGTAAAATAACTCTTCATTGTTGCTAGGAGTGATGAGCTCTTTGTCACATAGAGGATGTAAATAAAACCCATATTTACGCTTTTATTAAGTTTGTTTCAGAAGTTTGAACACAGTAGTAAGGACTAAACACTGTCTTCAGAGGTTGCAAACACTATCATGGGAGCAGCAATGTGTTTGTAGCAGTGTATTGCTTATTTATAATGAGGCTTACCATTTTCAACCTAAAGGATTTGGTAGACTCCTTATGGGTCCATGATATATCTTGGCATTGGGTTTTCTAAGAACAATCTAATAAATACTGTGGTTAATTAAAATAGCTGGACTCACATTCTGTTTCCAGGAACCTATGTTTAGTTCACTCATTGCTTCCAACAGAGAAGCTTCCCTAATATTTGGGGACAATGACTTTCCAGTGTTGTTGGTTTGGTGCATTCCTTATTTACTTGATGTGCACTGTACCTCATCCATTTATATGCTATCTCCTGAGTTTTGTAATATCTTATTTTAGGGAACTCTTGACTTTTAAACTTCGTACAGAGAAAAGAATCTGTCTCTTCTCGATAATGTTTCTAACCAATTGGTTTTTAGTTTTTAAATAATCACGTTTTCATATGAAATATAAATTTGATCTTTATTACTTTTTACCCAAAGCAACTTGTTTATAGTAATTCTGATTTTCTAGGAGGTATCCAATTGCTGAGCTTTTTACATTATCCATAGGTTTTAAGCTAATTTAACATATTTATTTGCAAGAAATTCTCTATCAAAAAAATGTTAAATGTTGTCAGTTATTTTTCTTGACTCTTCTCCCGCAGCTGGTATTTGCTCTGTTCATAGACCAATACAGCTTAGGGACTAATTGAGTGTAGGCAACTCAGGTGACATATTTTTTCATCAAGAGTAATGCCACAGTTATATTTTATTTTTACTTCATATACTTAAAATCATATTTGATGTTATTCTCTAATTCATTAGAAAACAAAACAAAACAAAAATCTACCTTTTAAGCATACACCCCTTCCCCATCGAAGTACATGTATGGAGTGCTCAAGAGAACACTTAACTGAATTCCGTGATACCATTTATCAAGCTTTACACAATATATTCTATTTTAGTGTAACTTATTTCCTCAAAGTGTCTGTAATAAAAAGCAAATAGTGGCATAACAGTTATCAAATAACTTTAAGTGGTAAAGGCCTTAAAGTGCAAACATGCCAGTCACTGACTCTGTTGCTTGTGGTTACATTAATGAAATAGAAGTTTAAAGGTCAAATGATACATTTCTATCTCCTAAGTGCCAGAATGTCTGGTTTTTGAGAAGAGAATCAAGAAAAACAAAACTTTCCTTAAATGGAGTTATAATCCCCAAGGGAAATACATTCTGTTATCTACTGACTATAGCTATCATTTTGTGAGTCTTTCTCTGTTTAGCTTAAAAGGAGGACTTATAATGAAATTTCACTAATAATATTGACATCAATTATTTCTTTTAGAAGGATTTTTAAAAAAGAAAAAAATAATTTTAGCATCTTTTTCATTTTAACTTTACCATTTAAGGTTAGTGAAGCCATATAGTAAATGTCAAGGTGTCCCTTACTTTTAATAACGTCATTCACTGCTAAATCTCTGAAGGATTCACTTGAATTATTTGGACTCTCTTGATAAAGTATTTAATGATGCATATATCCAAGGTAATAGTGTTTGATATCTCCCTTACTTAAACTTTGGATTTAACCAGATACATGAATGTCTATATTATAATTTGCTATGTACGCAAGTTGTTTTCATTAACTTATTAAATATAAACTATGATTGCCACTACACTTACTGCATATAATATTCTTACCAAAACTTGTTAATCTGTGTATGGAGACATTAACTTTTTCTCCATTCTTCAAGTTGCATTTTGTAGTGCATGGAAGATCTCAGTTAATGTGTCATGGGGTGACATAGTAGAGAACAGGAATGCTAGAACCACATGAGTGGTACTTCAGGACCCAGTGTTTCTAGACCTGGACAATTGAGAAGAATATAACCCTGCTCTAGATCAATATGTAAATTTCAGATGACTTTTTAAAGTATAATTTTGCAGTTAAACTTTAATGTGAATTCTTTCCTTTACTCTTACTTTATTAACAAATACCATTATGTAAACATGTCGAAAATGTTTAATGTTCTTTGGAAACAATACTATGAACATCCTCATTTACATCCTCCCAGTTCCTGCACATTTTAAAAACACATGTCATTTTTAAACTAATATTTTCAATCTGTTTCTTATTCAACTCTTCTGTATGAATTTTGCACATTTTTAGCTGCCTTCCTAATATGAATTCAAAATATCCTATTATCTGCTTGTCATGCTTTAATCGAAGGAAGGAAGATAGATTCTTCCCTTAATTGTGGTATCTTCTTTTACTTTAGCAAAGTTGAACACAACTCTGTCACTTCAATGCAATGGATTTGAATGGAAGATATATGACATCCTGCTATGATATTGTAAAATGGAGGAAGACTTTTGCGTAGAGCGTAGGGCACATTTCTACCCCATTGAAAATTACAAAAGTTTTGCAAACATATTTATAAATGGATATGACAAGTATTTATTACTTCTCAGCCTATTTGTACAATACAGTTTGCCTTTTGATTAGACAACATTAATTAGTTTTGGTTTGAAATGCATATTGTTGGTTACAATAAAATAAATGATTTCTATATGAGAGTACAGTAAAAATAGTAGTAAAATAGTGGCAAAAATTAATTATTCTATACTTTTGGAATATCACTAGAGAGTCTCACATTTTCTGTTGAGTTATTCTTACACATTGATGCATCATGTATTCCAAATACACTGTTCAGCTATGTAGGTCTGTTCGGTTTAGGACATTAAAGTACACTTTTAAAGCCTATGTGCTTCTTAAATAGTGTCATTGAACAAATATTTTTAAAATTCTGAGGTTTTTCCTTCTTAGAAAAGGGAGGTGTAATGGATTATCATAATGAGTCAATCTGGAAAAATATGTTTCAGAATATGGAATAAAATTCTAAATGTTACCTGTAGTGATTTGCAGAACAGTTCTAGTAGCATGTATTATTTGTCGTATCAATATACAACCATTTAAAACATTTAATTTTTAATTAAGTTTTTAAATTTTTTAAAATTTTCTAGGTGGACTTATTCTGGCTCACTCTTTTTAGTTTGGAAGAATTGAAAAGCCCATGTGGTTGTATAAATCTTTGAACACAAGTATGTTAATGAACTACTTATTTTAAATAGATTGGCTTTACAATGAAATGGCTTCATGGAATGAACCATTA